ATCCAACACATTACCTTCAATTCTTGGTTTTCTATCTGAATTATATTTAATGAATGGTAATCGGTAATTTTTGTAAAAAAGAAGAAGATACTATTGGACAGGTGAATATATATAGGCTTATTGTGAATAGCTAAATAATTAATCAGTGCCTCCTAATTAATTTTCCATTACACTAAATTGTTGAATATGAGATCAACCGGAAAAGGGAAACCTCTCGTACTATTTCATTTGTATTAAAGAATAAAGAAAAGATTCAAAGGCTAGCTTTTCCCATATATCATGCAACTATATATGAATATATTTATGCGCGCTTAATGTTATGAATTAATGGGCTAAATTTTAAAACTTGGCATCAAACCATTTATTTTTGTTCCACTAAGTTGGTCCTTTTAATAATTAATACACTATTTTAAAGCTAATCAAATTCAATACATTAATATGTCAAATTTATAAAACATCAATTTGACAAGTTAGTATATATTTTTAGAAATTGACCAATTTATTGAATAAAAATGAATTTTTGCCCTATCAAGATAGTATAATTTTAGTTACTTCAAAACTTGGGAGTATATAGGTCGTATTTATATCTATTAGCCAATCAAACCAATTTAAAAACACATACCATATATCCACGACCTATATGATAAAACTTGTTAGCACTTGATCAAATTAAAGCCCAAAGTTTATTACAAACCAAACCACAATCCCTAAAAACAAACAAACTAAAACTCATCAAGAAACCATGTCATGCCCATAAATCGCCTCCTTCTTGAACGACTGGTCCTGATAAATTACATGATTGCCACTCGAAGCACCGAAATTAAGCAGCTGATTATTCTGTATCAAGAACGATTTGTTGTTGTTATAATTATCGTCCGTACACGCGCCCGCCTGATCCCCGTGCACCAGCAGGTTGAACGGGTGGTGGGCACCGACGCTAGTAGGGCTCTGGTGTAGGTACACCGGCGGCTGGTCCTGGTCCAGCTGGTCCTGGTGCATCTGGATGCAGAGGATCTCCGCCTGAGCCACTGCCAGCTGCATCTGCAGCTGGGCCACCTGGTCCTGCAGGTAGGTGATTGCTCCCACGCACCCGTAGACTGGGTCCCGCGCCCGAGCGTTGGCCTCGTAAACAAGGCTGCTGACCGCGTCCCCACGCTGGTGCACCGGAAGCTCCTGGTCACGCGTTGTAGAGAGAGAGAGCAAAAAACATTACATTAAATTAATTATTGATTTTCAGAAGGGGAAAAATCAATCGGCGAGCAGTTTCTAGCGAATCGAGTAGACTCAGATCGTGATTTCGTAATCACAATTTTTCGTCATCTTATATTAGTCATATAATTGAATATGTCAGTTCTTGTGTAGATAGTAAGTCGAATCGTGTGAATTAATTGCGCATTTTAAAAATATATATAATACGAAAGGATGTACGAGTCCACGCAGATCCAACTCAGGAATATATCCCATCCATATTCTCCAATTTGTTAAAAAATTGTGATTTTTTAAGAAAAATTATATGTGTGTAAATTGACTAAAAATTATTGATCAAGAATAGGATTTTTAGGATTTTTGAGCTAACATTTTACTAAAATATGATGCATAGAGACCATATATAAAAATTAGAAAACAAAAGAGAGAAANGAAAAAAAAAAAAAAAAAAAGGAAAAATGAAATTACCTGCAACATTTTGCTAACATTGCTAGCTCCGAAAACCTTGTGAACAATGGCGAACTTGTGAGGGTCATCGGATGGGAAATAAGGCGCGAATATGCAGTCTTTGGCACACCGCCGCCTGAGCAACTTGCATGAAGCGCACGGCGAACATCCACTACCCATTTTGTTAAAATATATTTAAAAATAAAGGGTATTAAAAAGCAATTTAATCTAAGGGGAAAAATAGAAAAGGGAAAAGTGTGAAGCTCAAAGAGAGTTTGTGAGTAGGATATATGTGTAGAAGGATTAATGCAATGAGAGATAGAATTGGTGTGTATTTATAATGGTTCGAGAGAGTGTGAGTGTGAACTCAAATTGCATCACCACATGAGTTTAAAGAAAGATTGAGGAGTGATTAATTAATTAATTGTTTTAGAATATGTTGTGTGTTTGTACTCCCGTGTAACGTTGCACAATATTGAAGCAATAGTTTATAGGAGAAGGAAAGCAAGTCTAGCTCCTAATTTGAGTGTTTAACTAAAAGTCACATCTTTTTTTTTTTTTTTTTTAGATAAGTGTAGCAATGTTCGAATAATTTTCGTTCAAACCGAAATATAAATTTTGATTTTTTAATGTCAATTATCGATTTTTATTTCTGAAATCTCAGTTATTTTAGTTCAATTTTAAAAATAATCGACGGATAACACTCCTAGTCAGGCGGATCGATTCATTATATATTTTTTTAACTAAAATGCATACTTATACTAAGAAAATATTGTCTTTATGTTTGTGTTATATTATTAGAGTATGTCAATTGTTAATAAAAATATAATTTTTCATTAAAAATATAATTGTGTAATGATTAAGTGTGATTAATAGCAACTTTTTACCACATTATTTTAAAGGTTGATGATAATTAATGTGGCCTAGCTCCCAATGGGGAACTTGATAGATCAAGTGACTTTTTTGACCTAATATACAATACAACAAATACACGGAGTTGTTTTGCTTGTTTCTCACATATGAAATTGTTTGATTGTGTATGCAGTTTGTTTTGTTGCTTCCATATTCGAGGAAAATGTTGAAAATTTGATTTAAAGTTGTGTACTTTGGCTAATTTTTCGAGACTACATATTTAATTTTGAAATGGATTAACTATAATATTATTGTATTGCGATTATATGATATTATAGTCAATCTAATGCCTGAACACACAATTTAATTTGAAACAAAAAAATTAATAACACAAGGATGTGTGCTTGAAATAGGCATAAAGTGAAGCGCAATCAAAATTCATCCATATATATTATAGAAAAGCTCAATTTATCCTAGTCTATATCTATCTATATTTATATCTATCTATATCTATCTATCTATCTATCTATATCTATACTACTCTAAAAGGACGAGTGTTTTTGTAAAAATATGAACTACCTAAATAACTCTTATTTGACATATTTTTAATGTCAAATTAGTAATACACTTATACACATCATATTTTATATTTTTAAATGCAAAAATGAATTACCTAAAAAAACCCTTACCTTGCCATGTTTTTAATGGCAAATTAGTAATATACTAATGTCCATCATATCTTATATTTTTAATTATAACTAATATTTAATTAATTAAATACAAATACATAAACAAATCATTCCACACTCCTAAAATCAACTACAATATGTTGGTTTGCCACCATTATTTTTTACGAATTTGTTTTCTTCCACATCCCCTTGAGACTAAGACTGGGAGGGAACATGTCACATTAGAGATGAACGATCAGAGATGTCCTCTAATCATATTTTGATAGGACATAGAATTGTTGTTTGAAAAACGTCATTATTTTTACTATAATTTTAATGGTAATATTGTAATCACATTTCATAACTCTAATATATAAAAGTTCTTTAAAGAGATTAAAATTGATCCAACAAAAAAAGCATAATAAACACTTATAAAACTAGAAAATTGTTTTTTCTCATAATGACCACAAAGTATAGAAACATTACCTATACAAAATGTGTAATAGTATGCGAGATTAATTGTTGAATGATTGTTCTGCAACCTAAACTTCTAATTAATCCAATTTCTTCGGTACATAAGACCAGAACAATTTATGAAATTGTATAATACTAAAACTTAATCTATTTTTTTTCATACCACTTTAGCAACATGGATTAATTTTAACCATATAATTATCTACAAATTAATTAAAAATATCTCGAGAATCATGATATGATTTACATGTTGAAAATTAATTAATTTTAATCAAAAAATCATATTCATATATTATCATTACTCATCTATCTATTAATATGTGTCATTATAATAAAATGGTTTTTAAGAAAAAAATGTACAAAATAAAAAATTTTATATATTTGAGTATAAATGAGAAGATTATAATTATATATAATATAATATAAAGATATAAAATCAATTGATATAAACAAGACATATGATTCAAAAAAGTGCTATACTTTAATTTTATGTATTTTTTAACAAACCTAAAAGTTATACACACACACACACACATATATTAAAATACATATGAAAGAACGGTTTAGAGTTAAAAAAGTAATAAATCTAATAAATAATATTAAATTTATAATTAAGTTGTATCACTTATTAATAACTATGAAAAAAAGTAATAAATAAAAATATTATAATTAATAAAAGTAACTGTAGAACTTTTAAATTTGTACTTATCGATGTAAACGAGCCAAATTGTTCACCACATGTTAAATTTTTGCGCTTATTAGTTCAGTGTATAAATTTTAGACGATAGACAATAGTTTTTATACTTTTATCCATGTAGGTTAAAAATTTATTTTTATTTTTTTAAAAAAAGCTTTGATAATTTTGATTTTAAATAACCTTTTATTTTCTATTAGTTTTTTTAATATAATATATAAATACCATATTATATATATACAATAATACTTTTTATTATTTGATTTCATGTGCAAGAAATGTAACTCAATTGATAAGTTAATAGGTAGTCTTGCGATAAAATAATGAGCGATTTCTAATAAAATATATGGATTAAAAAGTTCATGTGTTTAATATATTTTTAATAGAAAAATTATAAATACATCTAATTAATAACAAAAACTCCTACATAAAAAATATAATTTATAAAGGAATAAAAAAATGGTACATTGCAATGAAAAATCCAACAGTAAAACATCCACTGAAAATCCCAAATGATATTTTATTCATATAGCTGTCATTATAAAATTTCATTGATTATTCCAACAGAGATCAAATTACATTATATTGAAAGTTCAATGGATTGAATTAATCCAATTATTATTATTTATTATTGTATGAATTTCCGTTTGAATTTTTTTCGGGTCATATTTCAATAGTTGGAAAAAATGTCACTGGAATTGTAAGAATTTCAATGTAAGTTCTATTCAAAATCTACCTGCAGTGGTGGATACAAAATAATTTCATACTTGAGGTATTATTTAGTTAATAAAAAAGGTATACCAATTAAATAACATAATGTCATTATAATTTATAAATTATATTTTTCATAATTTGTCATATTTCTCATCTATAATACATGTTACACGTCAAAACAGTTACAATTAAAAAAACATAACTTTCTCAATTCAACATAAGCAAATAATTGAAAATAATTATGTTTTTTGAAATTTTATGAACAAAAGTTGACTCGACAATATTATTGATGAATTTATGAATTATAAATATTTAATTGTAGTATAAATTAAAAAAAATATAATTAAATATTATATAATATAAGATATACAAATAATTGATATATAATGAGACAGATGATCGAAAAAATTCTAGACTTTATATTATGCATTTTTTGACAAATCTACAGTTAAGAACATGTAAAAGAACAAGAAAAAAGTTTTAAAAAATATTAAATATGATAAATAATATTAAAAATAAATAAATTGTGACACTTACTAATAAATATGAAACAAAGTAATAAATAAAAATGTTATCATTAATAGAAGAAATATAAACCTTTTATAAATATACTTATCGACGTAAACGAGCTGAGTTGTTAAACGCTTGTTAGATTTTTGTCCTTATAATTTTATGTGTAAATTTGATGTGATATACAATAGTTATTTGTATATTTATCCATGTAAGTTACCAAAAAAAAAATTCTTTATTATTCTAATTTTAAATAATTTTTTATTTACTATATTAGTTTTTTAATATAATATATAAATATCATATTGAACATATAAAATAAGAAATATTCTAATTTTTAAATATTTAATATGTAAAAAATGTAACTCAATTGGTAAATTAATAGGTAATTTTGAGATAAAATAATGAGTGATTTCTGAAAAAAAAAAATATAGGAACTAAAAATTTCATGTGTTTAATATATTTTTAATAGAAAAATTGTAAACACAATTAATCAGTAAATACTACATAAAAAATTAATGTTTAAGAGGACTACAACAAATTGCTATATTGCAATGAAAACATCAACGGTAAGGTCTTCTACAGAAAATTCCAACTAATATTTCATAAATATTGCTTTCATTGGAAAATTTCATCGGCTATTCCAACAGAGTTCAAATTAAATTACATGAACTTTATTGAATTTAAAGATTTCAATACTTGAATTTCAATTGGAATTTTTTTTGGACCATATTTCAATCGTTGGAAAAACTATCATTGGAATTAGTCAAAAATTCAATGGAAATTTTGAAAAGCTAATTGCAGTGATAGATCCAAAATAATCTATCATTAAATTTTTTAATTTTGAAATACTTCATATTTTTTATTTGTTACTCTTTTTATATGTATCATTTCTTTTCAATAATATTTGAGTTGACAATATATTGCAAATAAAATAAAAATATTATAATTATTTATATCGATATATATACACTCACACACACACACATACACACACACACACACACACACACACACATATATATATATATATATATATATTCAGTACTAATTTAAAAACAATAAATTGACCTAAAACTATAGTATATATTATTTTTTTTATTCAAGTTGAATCAATTTAATTAAGTATAAAATAATATAAGATAAACTTGTGGTATATTTTTCTTACATATATTTGAAACAATTCATATTAGAAAAAAAATGGAGGTAAACTTACAACTATTCCCACGTTTTGGCTAGAACGCCCATTTCTGATATAAATTTGACACTGGTTTGCCGTAATGCTGAAACTATGGCGAATGCACCTTAGGTACAAACAAAGCGAAGCGAAGTGAAGTCATAGATAAAAGAAGGAGAAGACTAGGCTAGAG